AAAAAAAAAGTTGAATTCAGTAATGAATATGGTTAAAATATGGGTGACTGACAAAAAATTATTTTTGGAGTTGCAAAATGTACTTTTATTTACATTTTATCTACTTCAGACTTCCATGTTTAATCCAATGTGTTACTTTGTAATTATTTGCGAAATTTACTAGCAGAAATATTTTTCAAAGCCATTTTTCAGCGCATGCATCACAATACGTTTATTAGTTTATGTTTCAAATGTGTAATCCAAATGCATGGAAATTTTATATGCAATTCAAATACACAAATCTTATATTTAGGCTGTTTAAAAAGGTTTCGTCTTCTACGAAAAAGACAAACCAAAATGCATTGTCAAAAAAAAAAAACATGACAACTTAAAATTAGTCAAATCTAATTTAAAATTGTGCTGTGTATTTGTTTGGTTCGTAAAGTATCCTGTTTTTATCCTAGCAAATTGTAAAACTCACATTGAGTTACGGTAAGTAGAGTGTTCAAAATCACCCTTAGTAGGCAGCTGCCTAAGTAGGCTCACTAGGGTTTGAAACGGAGCCCGTGTGCTTTATTCTGAGCGTCACGACTCGTTCTGCAGTAATCAGAAAGACTCTTTGGCTTTGTTGGATGAGGAGAGAGAAGTGAGCTGAACAGAAATCTGCTGCGCTTCCACGACAAAGCAGCCGTCCGAAAACATCACGTCAAGAAGCCAAACAACGGCCCGGCTGCCAGCCTCGCAACGCAAAAGCAGCACTGCATGGCATGAAGTACGAGCAGCGCACGCATGCATGAGCACATCTCACAAACAAAAACGCTAAACCTTCAGACATGTATGGCTCTGCTCCTGTGCAAATAGAGTTTGACCAAAGGCGGTTCATCACACACAGTCCAGATGTTGCTAATTATGTCCAGAAATATCTCTTTCCTTATTGTTTTTACATGCATTTCATTTGAAGTTGCATTTGCAGCCCATTTTACTTCTGCAGTGCGAGTAAAACACAATGTGCAATTGATTGGATGGGGACATTGGTCAAATCATGGTCTTTCTCTATAATAACGTCACAGATGAATCACTCAAAACCGGAAACATTGATTTTGAGTTTTTGTTCAACATGGTAGAGAGAAACAGACATGTTCTACTCCAACAGAAAAGCCTAAATAATCGGTAATATCCTTGATTTTATGGATAGAAATGTCTATTTTAAACATTGCTTTAACCACATTGAGTGTTTTCCAGTCAAATGTGTGTTTAACTCCAAATTAGATGCCGTTGGGACTTATTATATTTAAGCTTGTGCCAATGGATGCCATATTTAATTTGATGCAAATGAAATTTTGCATGAAAATGAAAAAAGAATCTACACTTTTAAAAAATTAATTGCTCAGAGTCATAGAGAAAGATTATTGAAGTGCATTTTACAAGAAAATACTTTTTCAGTTTTTCTACTTCGAAATTTCATGCGTAATTCTTTGTGTTTGTTTGTGAAATTTACTAGCAATTTCTGAGCCGAACTATTTTCGAATCCAATTTTTATTAATTTTTTTCAGTTTAAGGAATATTTGATCTGTTCAGTGGTTACATTTCTAAGTAAATCATTTCTAAAATCATTCTTAACGAACTGTGAAATGCATTTAAAATTAACCCAGAAATTCGGTGTTGTTTATTAATAAGCCTCGTCGTTAAGCCTAATGTATTATACTGACTCCTAAACATCTTTCCAGATAATTTAAGACAAAAACATAGGTTGTTGCCCTCACAGCCTCATTTTTATCAAATTAATTATGGCATCCAGCCTAAATAAGGTCTGTAACATCAAGTTCAAATGTCCAAATGTAATGCAAACAAACCTCGAACTTTAGAAGATACTCGAACTATACAGGCTTTGCATCTGCGCCCTTCAGTGACGCTCATGTCAGAATAATTATATTAACTATTAACCGAGCTTGAGTCTATTTCTGCCTCTGTGGTTTTTTAAGCCTGTACACGTAGTTTGCACAGGTCACGTTTCAGATTTCCTGTAAATTAAAGCTGCGTAAATGTACACAGTGACATCTGATGCTTATTTACAATTCATTCAGTCACACGACACGACAGCGTTTTAGAAACGCACACTTTGCACATGTGAAGGTAATGAATTTTCAGGTTTTAAAATGAAATTATTGATGCATTAAAGCAGCCTGAAATCACTTCAAAGTTTGCTTATGTAAAAATGAGTGCTGTAAAATGATTAATCGCATCCAAAATAAAAGTTTGTTTATATATGTGTGTGTGTGCTGTGTATATTCATTATGTATATATAAAGACACACTTGCACGTATATATTTAAGAAAAATTGTATGTTTATATTTTAATATATTTATAATATAAATTATATGAATATATATATATATATATATGTAAATATTTTCAAAATACATACTGTATGTGTGTGTATTTATATATACATAATAACTATACACAGTACACACACATATATTATGTAAACAAAAACTTTTATTTTGGATGCGATTAATCGCGATTAATCGTTTTACAGCACTAAAATTACATTTTTGAAAGTTTGCTTGCATCACAGTTGATTCAGATGCGCTAGTCAAACATTGGACAATTCCCTTGTAGTTTGTACCACAGCAATTTTTTATAATATATTGCAGAATGTTTTATTTAGATGTCAGCTTTTTGTCTCTATGAACAAGTAGTGCTCTTTACTGGGGTTTCCTGATAGAAACCACCATAAGGGAATGCGCTGTAAAGTCAATTCCGTCAAACACGCCAATGGAACGGTTTGCGTCTGATGCTATTTATGGTGAGTCTGCTGATGATTTTCAAAACCCAAAACAAATGCATGAAGAAAGATGAATTATAAACACAGGATTTAGTTCTAGCAGGCACACTTGGGATCTATTGCTACATAAAACAGCCCTTCACCAAACCTGCCAACCCGACCCCAACGGTGGCGCGTTCAATGTCAGTTTGAGATAGAAAAACACGTGTGCTATAATCTTCACTAGTAATATAAGCCACAGTTACAGCTGGAGGTCGTTACAGTAGAAACTTTGACACGTTTTTTTTTAATTCCAATAAATATTGTTAATGTTATTCCTAAAAGTAGCAAATTATTGCTGAACGTATAGTGTGCAAAACAATTAAAAAGAAAGTGTTCTCGATAACCCCTCCATACCATGCAGTTTCCGCATGCAAAATAAATACTTCACCATAGAAACAAATGTGTCGCACGTTCGAAAGGAAGCATGTGCAATAGTTCGCAAGAATTTAGTAAAGACAGGTTTTAAGCAAGTGACCATTTCTGGTGCATGTCTGATTGTCTTTTACTAGTCTTGATATAACGACACCGAGCGAAACGTCATAAGAAATGGCAAAAAAAAAAAAAACAACAGAAAGTGCAAATACCACTGCCTTTTCATCGCTAGCGACACAAATCGGAAAGAGGTAATCGTCATGCTTTCCAAAGCGTGAAGTATGAACATTTATAACATGGATGCACCGCTAAGTTTCTTCTACGTCATCTCAAATCTTAAAAGGAATCACACCATTTTAAGTAAGACCTTTAATGAACTTATGTTGCTTTCAGTCTAATATACGATGATTACATCCTCTATATCTGCGACTACGGATCTCATTCATGCATTCAAACTGTGAAAGGTTGACGTGTGCATGTTCAAAGAGCATGTCTGTGACACTTTACCCTTGTATATTCAAACAAACGTGAACCACAAGAGAAATAAAACAGTCTACAAAAACCTCCAAGGATTTTGTGTCTACGTTACATTCGGTAAACAAAAAGGAAAAGGTGACATCCATCATCACAGAAACGTCTCGCGATCTCGGTCTGTGAAAGGTTCGCTGAGGTCCGTGTTCGCGGCCTCCGGGATTAGAGCATGAAAAAGCTCGCTAGTCGCTCGCGTGACGCTGTCGTACGATGGCGGAGACGAAGTAGCTGACAGCATTTCCGTAACTTCGGCTTCGGCGCCGTAGTTCTCCATTATCATCGCAACTATAAGTCCTTCGTTCTCCGGCAAACTGTCGCCGTCTTTGGCCGCGTCTGGCATGTGGAGTTGACGATAAAGTAGCGAGGCTTGTTTCAGCTGCCGTCGAATTAGATGCCTCCGATATGCGCGTTGGATCATGATTGCGGAAACGTCCTCTTGCTTGCGCCGAAGCGTCGTCGTGATCGGTTCGTAGGAAATCTTAGACGGGTTCGCCATCATGAACTTCTCCTCCATTTGTTGCTTCAACGCGTCCATTTCGTCCGACTCTCCAAGAACGCGTTTGGTGAACGCGAAGAGGATATCCAAACAATGGATCTTGTCGCCGCTCACCATCGGAAGGTCCATGGAAATCAGTTTGATTTTGTTGGGTTTAGTGATGCGCAGCGGCTCGGAAAGCGAGTCGGCGAAATCCGAGAGTTTGGAGTATTCGATGAACTGCATCGCCTCCGGATCGAACTTCTCCCAGACTTCGTAAAACATCTCGAAGTCGTCCTCGCGCAGCGTCGCCGTGCTCTCCTCGGTAGCCACGCTGAAGTTCTCCAATATAATCGCGATGTACATGTTCACCACGATGAGAAACGAAATAATAATGTAGGTCACGAAGAACGTGATGCCGACCGAAGGATTCCCGCAGTTTCCGCGAACGTTCGTCCCGGTGTGAGGAATATCCGGGTCGCACTCTTCCGGAGAGTTGTTGAGGATTGGATTGAGCAGATTGTCCCATCCGGCAGACGTTGTGATCTGGAAGAGGCAGATCATGCTGTTTCCGAACGTTTCGAAGTTGAACATGTCGTCGATGCCGCCTTGCTTCTTGACGTAGGCGAAGTTAAAGTTTTTGTTTACATAATATATCTGTGTGTACTGTGCACATTTATTTTGTATATAATAAATACACACACATACAGCATATATTTCGAAAATGTATTTACATGTGTATATATTTATATTAATATAATTTACATTATATATAAATATATTTAAAATAGAAACAACATATTTTTCTTAAATATATACATGCATGTGTGTGTATTTATATATACATAATAAATATACACAGTACACACACATATACTATGTAAACAAAAACTTTTATTTTGGATGCGATTAATCGCGATTATTCGTTTGACAGCACTACTATAAAGATAACAATATTAGCATCCACACCAGCGGACGATATCGTCTGTATATTCTAAGCGCGTCTGTCGCTTTAAATTCTCCAGCTCGTTATAGCAGGATGGATTCTGATTGGCTGTCAATGTTTGTATCGTTCATCAGGACGTAGGCGAAGTTGGCCATGCCGAAGATGGCGTAGATGAACATGACGAGGAACAGCAGCAGGCCGATGTTGAACAACGCTGGGAGAGACATCATTAAAGCGAAGAGCAGCGTCCGGATTCCCTTCGCGCCACGGATGAGCCGAAGGATTCGTCCGATTCGAGCCAAGCGGATGACGCGGAAGAGCGTTGGCGAGACGAAGTACTTCTCAATGATATCCGCCAGAACAATGCCTGGAACGAGAAAGAGACACCGATTAGAGTTAGCATTTGAGTTCACTTTTTGGTAACACTTTAGAATAGGGAACACTTATTCACTATTAACTATGAGTTTTCCCTCAATAAATTCCTAATTTGCTGCTTATTAATAGTTAGTAAGGTAGTATAACGATATTAGCGTCCACACCAGCGGACGATATCGTCTGTATATTCTAAGCGCGTCTGTCGCTTTAAATTCTCCAGCTCGTTATAGCAGGATGGATTCTGATTGGCTGTCAATGTTTGTATCGTTCATCAGCTGGGAAAAAAATCGTTCTGAAAGTGATTCCAACGATATCGTTTCTCTGTGCCTTTATCGTTATAGCTGTGATGTGGACTCTGCTGTTCTTTAATATTGAGAACGAATTTTAGAACTATATCTTTATTGTTATCTTTATAGTTATCGTGCTTGGTGTGAACGGGGCTTAATTGTCACTCCCATTTTTGAACATAGACGTGAAAGTGCACTATCCAAACTTAAATTTTTATAATTCATGAACGAAAACATTTTGTAATATGATTTTGATGTACCATTTCTATAGTAACGCAATGTCTGATTTTAAAATGGTTTTCACAGGATGAATTTTGAGATTTTACGCTTTCAATTGATATATAATTTATGATGATTTCTAAAGCGTAAAAACACTTAAAACGATTACATATCACTGAGTCATCTTCCATTTGCCGCATTACTGTTTTAAAATGATCCAAAGACAGCAAATTTTGTCATTTCAATTTCGATTGAAGAAGATCTTACAATAGTGGTTTTAACATCAAAATTTAAAGTCTAACCTTTTATGTAACCTTCTCACTTTAAATACTTTGGTGAGTTATTAAGAATATTGGTAACACTTTAGTGTCCAATTCTCACTATTAACTAGTTGGTTATTAGCATGAATATTACTGGGATATTGGCTTATTTATTATTACTTAAAAAGCACATATTAATGTCTTATTCTGCAAGACCTTATTCAAAATCCTTAATCCTATATCCAATTCTTAAACATAATTGTCAACAACTACTTTACTAAGTATTAATACGCAGCAATTAGGAGTATATTGAGGCAAAAGTCATAGATAATAGTTAGTAAATAGTGAAAATTGGACTCTAATCTAAAGAGTGACCAGAATAATTTATGCAGTTACTTGAAAGAATTAAAAGAACGTTTCATGTCTATCCTTGTATCATTAGCTTGTCGAGGTTGATACAGGATTTAGAAAGTAATTAGTAATAAGTAATTAAATACTTTTTGGAGAGAGTAATTTGTACAGTAATCTAATTACACGGTTGAAGATGTAATTAGTAACTTGTAATTAATTACTTTTTTAGAGTAACTTACCCAACACTGTTACTGACCTTGACCACCTTGATTTATTGAACAGTCGGTCCCACTTAGGAGTTAAATGGCTGGCTTTTACATTTGCGGCGGTGCGTCTTTAAGCTTTTAACCCTGTAGAGATACAGACGGCAGCAGGGGGTCGTGGCACAAAACCACGTCAAGATTTTAGCTCGGACTGAGAGCTCAATCACCTGAGCTGACAGCCCTGATTGCCCAAATTACCTTCACCTTAAACCATCTCGTCTGTTAACCCCTCTGGCTTTCCTCATTCTCTCATCAGGGTCACGAGGGGCTTCTGTTCTCAAAATCACCTCGTCGTGTCACTTAAGCACCGACTGCCTATTTATTAGTTGGTGAAGTGCTACAAAATTGCATTGAATGCCTTTAGACCTTGATGTGTAATGCCAAGGCCAGACGGTAAAGCTACTGTATCTTACAAAGAGAGACATTACACAATTTCATCTACGATTTAATAGAACTGGTTGCCTCATGCAGAAAGAATATAATACTTTAAATTTGTTTTACACTATTTTACTTGTCATATTTATTAAAATTGTTATTTTTAACAAAGTTGAAAAAGGGTGTGACATGAAAAATGTTTGATTAAAAATAAATAATTAAATAAATCAAACAATAAATAATAAAAACATTATTAAAAATACATATTTTATATTTTTCCTTTTTTAAATATGTCTGACCAGTGACAGAAAATTCTTTATATATATATATATATAGAGAGAGAGAGAGAGAGAGTTATTAAAATTAAGTTATTCAAAATCTTTACACTTTTTCTGCTTAATTATTAAAATATATATTAGACTAAATTTAAAAAAATAATAATTTAAATAATTATTTTAAACTTTAAGTTGAAGAAGTATGGGTGACACGAAAAATGTAGAAATATATTTATAGTTATTAAAAATAATAAAATGTAAAACACATTTTAATGCTATTTAATATTATTCATTTAATTATTTTAATGACTATATGTTTTTTTCACGCCAACCACACTTTTTCAGGCTAACAATTAAAATACATATTCAGGGCGATGAGTTTGATGATGCACTCGGTGGTGAAGATGACGATGAAGGCCAGGTTGATGTAGTAGAGTATGTACTCGATGCTGGCAGACTGCTCGTCCGTCTCCACCATCATCGTCACCATGTTGAGGATGATCAGCAGCATTATGATGATGTCAAAGGCTTGTTTGGACACCAAGTCGAAGAAGAATCCTTGGATCGAGTTCTGAGAAGAAAACAATCCAACCAAGAAGATTCAAAGAGTCAAAATCCACCAGAATCATTGATATATGACCCTGGAGTCATAAGTAGCACAGGTTTTTCACGCCAACCACACTTTTTCAGGCTAACAATTAAAATACATATTATATTGAAAAAAAATATAGGAGACATGAAAAATCTATAAAAAAATATTTATAAAAAATGAAATGTACAAAAATAAGTTTTAATATTATTTAATGACACTCTTTTCAGCTTAGTAATTAAAATATATATTAGACTGAAAAAGTATGGATGTCATGAAAAAAAAATTATATTTAAAATGACACTGTTTCATCTAATAATCAAAATGTATATATTTAAAAAAATGCATATATTTGTATATTTATATTTAAAAATAATTTAAATTATCATTTTAGCTAAGTTGAACAAGTATGGGTGACATATTATACAAATTATATATATTAATAGTTATTAAAAATATTAAAATATATTTTAATATTATTTATAAGTTTAATAACTTAGTTAACTTGTCATAACTAAACATGGGACAAACTAATCGATTTTTCTTTTATGCCAAAAATCCTTAGGATATTAAGTAAAGATCATGTTCCATGAAGATATTTAGTAAATTTCCTACCGTAAATATATCAAAACTTAATTTTTGATAAGTAATATGCATTGCTAAGAACTTCATTTTGACAACTTTAAAGGCGATTTTATCAATATTTAGATTTTTTTGCTCCCTCAGATTCCAGATTTTCAAATAGTTGACCCTTATGACTGGTTTTGTGCTCCAGGGTCACATTTTGATCAAAAACCCATTGAATACTCACAGTAGGTCTTGGGATGGGTTTCTGAGGTTTCTTGGATCCCAGTTTCTTCATGGCGTTATAATATTTCTTCTGTTCTTCTGTCATGAAGATGTCCTGTCCTCCTAAGTACAGAGAAACTCTTCTGTTATTATTACCGTCACAATCGCATTCACACCCTTCATGCTCGTTATTCTGCTGGTTTTAATACTTATCTTTCGCTTCTGTTGGTTGAAATTGTCAATGATGACACCGATGAAGAGATTGAGCGTGAAGAAGGAGCCGAAGATGATGAAGATGACGAAGTACAGGTACATGTACAGGCTGTTCTCTTTAATGGGCTGCTCTTCCACCTGTTCCAGTAGATTAGAGACGCTCAAATTAGCAAACGATACGTTCACATGGGTTTCAATCTGGTTTTATGAGCTCAAAACGGTTTTACTTACGGATCGTGAGTCGACCGCGGCGTACATGATCTCCATCCAACCCTTGAACGTGGCCTTGAGAAGGAGAAAAAATATGTAATATACAAATTTAAAAACAAAACAAACATTAACTGAAACTGGGAGGAAAAATAAATAAAACTAAAATTAATAAAAAATATATGCAAAAAAAAAAAACTTAAAACAGTAACTAATAAAAGACAAAACTCAATCTGTAAAAACGTAAAACTTAATAAAATAACTAAAACTGAAATAATACAAAATAAAAACTATACAGACATGTAAAAAAAAAAAAACGTTACTAACTAATAAAAATGACAAAAGTCAATATGTAAAAAATGTAAAACTTACTAAAACAACAAACTGAAATAAAAATTTATAAAAAACTATATACAGATATAAAAAAACAGTAACTAATACAATTAACAAAATTAAGTCTGTAAATAAATTAAATTAAAAATATAAAATTGAAATAAAACATAATAAAAACTATGCTGACATTTTAAAAAAACGGTAAGTACTGAAAATGACAAAAACCAATCTGTAGAAAAATTTAAACTTACTAAAACAGCTAAAATAAAAATAAAAACTATATAGACTTATTTTAAAAAAACTAATAATAACTAATGCAAATGACATTTGTACCACATTAAATGTTTTTAAATAAATAAACAAAAAATTAATTACTTTTTTTCACATTTTTAAAGCTTATGTTATTTCTGAATTTCAATGCAAAAAAACAAACAAAAAAATAATAATTTAAACAAAAATATCAATTAGAAATATTGGATTTTTTTCTATTTTCTTTTGTGTCAGAAAAAGGCACAAAAGTTTGTTAAGAATAAGATGTTTTGATAAAAACAGAAGATAACAGCTAATTGAAGTACTGAGGAGTGGGCAAATCTGGATTTTCTGTGCGTGAGTGAATGAGTGAGTGAGTGAGTGAGTGAATGAGTGAGTGAGTGAATGAATGAATGAGTGAGTGAATGAATGAATGAGTGAGTGAATGAGTGAATTAATGAATGAGTGAGTGAATGAATGAGTGAATGAATGAGTGAGTGAGTTAATGAATGAATGAGTGAGTGAGTGAGTGAATGAGTGAGTGAGTGAGTGAATGAATGAGTGAATGAATGAATGAGTGAGTGAGTTAATGAATGAATGAGTGAGTGAGTGAGTGAATGAGTGAGTGAGTGAGTGAGTGAGTGAGTGAATGAGTGAGTGAGTGAGTGAGTGAGTGAGTGAGTGAGTGAGTGAATGAGTGAGTGAGTGAGTGAGTGAGTGAGTGAATGAGTGAATGAATGAATAGATGACAGTGGGCAGCTTTCACAGAGTGCCAGAAGTCACTACGGTTGGTCTTTTCTTGGTCTTAGTTAGCAGTAATTACAGGTCTTTGTGAAGGACTATTTGAAGATGCAAATGAAAGGTTTGTATTGGGTGAAGTCACAAGAAGGTGATGGAAAGGAGCTAAGTGACTTGTTGCTAGGTTACCGCATCAACTAAGTTAAAAAGAAAGAATGAAGTGTGTTCGCTCTTGCTGAGCACAAACTTCGGTATAATGGCAGCAGCGGCGGCTAAAAATAACGCTTGCACAGAGTCGCTGATTGATTCGCTCTCGGACAGACGGAGGTGGCCAGCGGCGGGAAAGAAAAGGAGCGAGAAACTAAAGCTAAAGCTCAGCACCTGATGCAGCGCGAGACAACCGGCGCCACCTTAGCAGAACCGACTCCAACAGAACAGACAAATGTGCCTTTTAGGAGCGATAACACTTTATTTTCATGAGAAAATGCTCCCAAATAAAATAAATAAATAGAAATGTACTATTTATTTATTAATAGTAATAATAATAATAATAATATACAGATAGATAGATAAATAATTCAATACGTAAATATAGAAATATAAAAATAAAATAATAAAATATAATTGCCTAAATGTAAGATTTATTTATTTGAATTGCATATAAAATTTCCAGCATAAACCAGTATACATTTGCATTAATTAGTTTTTTCATTTTAAAATGATATTTTTAATGGTAGGTATTTTTAGTTTTAGTTAACAGTAATAATGATATGATCATAAGTGGATTAATACATAGAAAAATAAGACATAAATAATGAAATATAAAACATAAAATAATAAAATATTAATACCTAAATAAATAAATAAATTAGATTTCTTAAATTTAGACCTAAATAATTTTATTTACACATTTAAATAGATTTTTTTTATATTTTCTACTAACTACTTAAAAAATAAATAAATAAAAATAATATAAAAATTTCAATATTAATGCCTAAATTTAAAATGCATATAAAGTTTCCAGTACATTAAAATGTTTATAAATCTGTTTTTAAAAGCAATAAAACATTATTTTCAAATGCCTCCAAATTATAATAAAAATAAATCAATAGAAACATAACTTTAATATATTATATTATTATATTATATTATTAATAATATAGAAAAATAATAAATAAAAACGCCTAAGTTTAAGATTTATTTAAATTAATTTTTTGATTAAGATTTATTTGCGAATATTTTCACAATGCGCTCCTTCAAACTGGTTAGAATCAACATGAATCTGTTCACTGTGAAAACAATTACATTTCTTCAGTTTAAAAGTATGAACATGGTTAAAACGGCTAGCTGGAACAAGCAATATTTCATTAGTTTGTTAGCATCATAATGCACATGAGGAAAGGTTTAGTGGGTTATTAACAGAAGCAAAGCCTCACCACTTGCAGCAGCGCGAGGTACCCGGCGCCCACGTTGTCGAAGTTGACCTTGACTTTGGTCCAGTAGTACTGCGTGCTGTTCATCTCCAAGCACTCGCTCTTGTTGTTGATGAAGGAGGCGTTGAAGATGAAGCCGGTGCGGTTGACGCAGCGGCCGAACTTCCCGGCGAACAGGTTGACTCCCATGATGCTGAAGATCAGCCAGAAGATCAGACACACCAGCAGCACGTTCATGATGGACGGGATCGCGCCGATCAGAGCGTTCACCACCACCTGATGCAAACAGAGCAGAATCAAACCCAGCAAACACAGCTTTCTGAGATCAGATCAGAAACCCTCGGCGACTGGCATTTACACGCTCGCTCGAAAACCCCTGATAACATACAGCAAGTGTCAGAGCACTTTGCATTTACAGCCATTCATAAAACATAAACATTATCACGAGCTCAACTCTACTGGATCCAACGCATCAGAGAAGAGTGTGTTTAACAGTAAATTTAACAGAAACATGCCTAGGTCACGTTTCACCCCAGAATTTAAATAAATGTGACCCTGCAGCACAAAAGCAGTGTTAAGTCGCTGGGGTATATTTGTAGCAATAGCCAACAATACATTGTATGGGTCAAAATTATACATTTTTCTTTTGTGCCAAAAATCATTAGGATATTAAGTAAAGATCATGTTCCATGAAGATATTTTGTAAATCTCCTACCGTAAATATATCAAAACTTAATTTTTGATTAGTAATATACATTGCTAAGAACTTCATTTGAACAACTTTAAAGATGATTTTCTCAATATTTAGATTTTTTTGCACCCTCAGATTCCAGATTTTCAAATATTGTCCTATCCTAACAAACCATACATCAATGGAAGCTTATTTATTCAGCTTCCAGATTATGTATAAATCTCAATTTTGAAAAATTGACCCTTATGACCCATTTTGTGCTCCAGGGTCACATATATGTTTTTAGGAGCAATAAAATATTATTTTCATGACAAAAAATACCCCCAGATTCTTGTTAGTGTAATGCAAAATAAATAAATAAATAAAAATCAAATTGTAAAAATAAAGTATATTTTGTAAAACAGTAATTTAATATTAATTAAGCATTAATGCTTTTCTGTATATTATTATATGTGACCCTGGACCATAAAACCAGTCATAAGTGTCAATTTTTCCGAAATTAAAATTTATGCATATCTGAAAGCTGAATAAATAAGCTTTCCATTGATGTATGGTTTGTTAGGATCGGACAATATTTGGGTATTGTTGGCTATTGCTACAAATATACCCCAGCGACTTAACACTGCTTTTGTGCTGCAGGGTCACATATATATATTTTATAATATATATTTTCATTAATAATAATAATAATAATATTTATTAATATACATATATACATACACACATATATTTATATACAAAATATATAGAAAAATATCAATAAATTTCCATCCATTTGGATTACATAATAAATAACACAAAAAATAAGGTATAGTTTATTATTAACTATTTGCATCTATTTTATTTTATTTAAATAATCATTTTTGAATTTATTACGTAATCAAGTTAATCTATTCATTATTATTGAATCATTTTTTAATTTATTCCATTGAAAAGTATGAACATGATTAAAATATGGATAAAAAGCAATTACAAATGTAATAATTTTTTTGTGCTAAAACTGTGTAATCAAATAAATAAATCCTAAACGTAGGCATTCATATTTTTGTATTTATGCATTATTTTTCTATATATTATATATTTATGCTGATTTACAAAAAAAAGGAAAATAAAACTTTTTTTAAAATCCTAATGGTCTTAAAATAGGCTTAAACTTCTGTATTTTAAATGTTTTAAACGTATGAAATAAAGCGGGTGATGAACCCACAGCAGATCACAACCATCACAGAAACAACAACACTACATGAGCATCAATGCAATTCAGTTTATAGATTTAATCCATTTCTAATCAAACTTGCATTTCTTCAGTGGTTAAGGCAAGACACTACAGGCAAAAATATGCTTTTCATAACGTGATGCTTCAGACTAGTGTAAAGAAAACATCCAAAATACATTTTAAGTTTGTTTCATTATTTATGACTTTTATTTTAGCTATAATTGTTTCAGGGTAGAGAAAGAAAACATCCAAAAATACACTTTTATTTTATTATTTTAATTATAGTTGTTTCAGACCAATGTAAAGAAAACATCCAAAATACACTTTTAAGTTTATTTTATTATTTTTTATCTTTATTTTAGTTTTATTTCATTTACTTTATCTATTTGTGTCTGTAGATTTGTATTTTAATATAGTTTTTATAGTATAGTTTTATATAGTTATCTAAAACTGAGACCATAAAATATTTTTTGTTGCTTGAAATAAAATAAACTTTTTACAGAATAAAATAAAACTTAAACTTATTTTTAAGCTGGTTTCCAAAATGAAATTTTTGATTTTCATATATATGAATATATATATGAAAAAAAAATAAAAATAAAATATATATATATATACAGTGGGTACGGAAAGTATTCAGACCCACTTAAATTTTTCACTCTTTGTTATGTTGCAGCCATTTGCTAAAATCATTTAAGTTAATTTTTTTTCCTATTACAACTAAAATTAAAATTAAAACAGAAAATATAAAAATAAAAACTAATTCTAAATCTTATTAAGTTTATAGTAATATATCAATGCAGCACATAAGTGCATATTTATAAAAAAAAATCTAAATATGTATATTTAATATGCATATTATATCACATTTATAAAAATATTTCAATATTTAATGTTTAAAAAAAAAAGACAAAAACACAACAAAATTACAAAAATTCTAACTTTAAAATTAAAACGAATACGGAAAATAAAAAATAAAAAATTACAGCAATATATGATGCTAATACAATGATACTAATATAACCCAGAAACGTGCATACACCAAATCTGACAGATTTATTCCAGTCTATATTCTGGCTTTATCCAATGTTCAGATTAATGTTCTGAAAATGAATGTGAATTAGTGCAGTTTTAATTAAATAATGCCTCATTTGGATACATTTGGAAACATACTATTTCAGAAAACGTTTCCTACTGTAATCAATCAGATGGGGAAATATGCTAATATGTATTAGTCTAATGTTTTATTTTCACCTCAGTGTCTTGCCTTCAATCTTAAATCGCTGAAATATCACAGTATGAATAACATTATTGATATGTGAGCGTCTGGTGTGTGAGGATGAGGAGATGAAGATAACACTGAGTTTGTGAGCGATGAATACTGATGGTGTTTCCCAGCTTCATCTTTATCCAGACTGTTTAATAATGTCCCGCAGGCACAGACTCTACTGTACACATACTGTACATCCCGCTAACGCTGTAATACTGACAGCAAATCAAACATTCATACATGCAAGTCAGGAAGAGGAAGATAACACTGGAAACAAGTCCTGCTTCTCTATGTTTACTCTGGTTTTTAATACGTTAGCGTCATTTTAAGAGACAGTAGATGTTTCAACAATCATTTAATTATAATAAATGTATATTTAGTTATATATTTAATTATTTTATTCTAATATTGATTTCAGTATAATCCATCAGGGAAAAATCTACTCATAATGTCACTGTATTGTGTAATAGTTCAATTGTAATGTATTTTTAGTTATATATAGTATTATATTTATTTCATTATTATTAATATTATCCTTTAGTGAAACATGCATTCAAAATGTTTTAATCATAATAAATTTATATTTTGTTATACATTATTCATTTTAATATTATCCATCAGTGAAAAACATCTACTTGAGTATTTATAATACATTTATATTTAGTTACAGAATTTGAATATTATATTTATTTGATCAATTCTAATATTATGCATCAGTGAAAAATCTAATAAAAATGTCATTGCTTTCATTTTAATAATAATAAACTGATATTCAATTATATATTTTATTCTTCTATTTAGTTTATTCATTTTAATATTATCCATTAGTGAAACAAAAATCTACTCAAAATATCACTGTATTATGTAATATTTTAATGATATAAATTTATATTTAGTTACAGAATTTGAATATTATATTTATTTGATCAATTCTAATATTATCCATCAGTGAAAAATCATTTTAATTTCATTTTAATAATAATAAACTGATATTAAATGCAAATTATAATGATATAAATGTATATTTAGTTATATATTTTAATATTACATTTACTTCACTATTTTTAATATGATCCATTAGTGAAAAATATTACATAATATTTAAATCATAATAAACTTTTATTTAACTATACATTTCATTCTAATATTTATTATTTTATTAATTTTAATATTATCAATCACTGAAAAAAATATACTCATAATGCCACCACATTATTTAATATTTTAATATAGTATAATCAAATCATTTTAATTATATATTTTATTTTATTAATTTTAATATTATCAATCAATGAAAAAATTACTGCAATTGTCAATGTATAATGTAATAACTTAATTATAATAAATGTATATTTAGTTATAAGTCTTATTCATTATTTTATTAAAATCCACTCAAAATGTCACTGTATTAATTTTGTAATATTTGATTGGTTACATGACCAAGTAATAATTGTCTAATACTGCAAAGACTTTCCCGTTTGCCTTGTAAAGCCTCCAGCGATAAATGAGACGTCACCTTTCAGAATCAGAAATGCATGAAGATTAAACGATCAAACTTGATTAAACAGAAGTGCGGTGAGAATATGAGAGAGATATTAAAACACGCGCTAATGCTGTAAAAACACGGCCGGATCGATGGAGAGAAAGAAATCAACACAAACAAAAACATGATTTCAGTCTGCTGGGACGAATCTGATGAAAACATCTCACATTTCACACTAAAAAATAATAATCATAAATTAAAAGTTTTTTAAAGGACCATTATGCTTTTTGTTGCATTGTCTTATTTAAATGACAATTAAACATGTTTTCCCCAAATCTTCATTTTATATATTTGTAATTCTCATTGTTACGTAAAAAAAAAAAAAAGAAAAGAAAAAAAAAAAGCACTAATATCAGCATAAATAAAAGGCTCTATAACAAATACTATCATAATGTATAAACACTTAACCACTTATATATATATATTTAACCATTACTGAATTTGGGTGAAAATGTGATTAATTGCCTTGAACATTTCATAACACAAAATAATAATTAATAATAATAATAATAATAAATGAATGAATTGCCCTCAAAAACAGCTTGATATTTTGATT